ACACACACACGCACACCCGCACGCACCCTGGGCACGTCCCTCCCTCCAGGGGCGGCCACTCCGCAGCCGAGGCCGGGCCGCAGAGCCTCCTGCTTTCGGTCTGGACGGTGAGCGGCGAGCCTCCGTAGCCGCCCCCGAGACCCGCCTCTCAGTGCCGAGAAGAGCAGCCCGTCCCGCACCAGGAAGCCAGGCCTGCGCCGCCCCCTGGGCGGTTCAGTCACCAGATCGAAGACGCACTGACCTCTCTACCGGACTGACCCTCAGAAGCCACATTAGGGCCTGAGGTCCGTTAGGGTGGTCCAGGAGGGGCGTGTGCCAGCGGGCCCGCGCTACGTGTTCTAAGTTCCGCATTCACGAGAGCAGCATGGAAGCGTGGTCCCTGCTTAGCATGTATAGCGTGGTCCACAGGAAGGGAGGAACCGTGACCATTGCTGTTCAGAGTCTTGGGAGTTGAGCTGAATAGCCCGATGCGGCCAGGAACCTAGCAGCCAACTGCCGTGTCTTAGGAACGTGAGGAAGTGGCTGGCGTCCCGAAGGCTGGCGTTCAAGTACCTGACTGAGGAGCAGTACCGGGAGCAAGCTGCCGCCGAGACCACCCGGGCCCTGGAGGAGCTGCGCCAGGCCTGCCGCCGGCCCGATTTCCCGTCCTGGCTGGTCATGTCCCGGCTCCACGCACCGAAAAAGTAAGCCCCGCTCTGCCCGGGGCCCGGGTTCGAGTCGCTGCGAGGGTCCGCGTTAGAAGGCGAGCGAGGCTGCCAGAGCCGCTCCCCTGGTGCCCTGGCCCAGGCCCAGGCAGAACTGTGAGTGTCAGAGCAACAGCTCCGCTCCTACCGGGAAGGGGCTGGTACTACGGGAAGGGAAGGCGGGAGGCGACGCCCAGAGGGGCCGGAGGGTGGGACGGCTGCGGCCCTGCTTCTGCTGGTGTGGGCTGTGATGCTGGAGTTCACCCCAAGGCCTCTCTGCCCGCATCCTCCCCTCTGCTCCCCTCCTGCAGGCTTCAGTCAGACCCCCTGCCCACAGGGAAAGGTCGGAGGGGAAGTGTCGACAGTAAAATAAGGAACAAATCCAGCCCCTGGAGAGGAGAGAGCCTTAGGGAGCAGAGGGGGTCTCGGCAACGCTGGGCTGGCTCTGCCCTGCCCCTGCCCTGCCCCCACCCTCTGCCCTTGCACCCGCCCCTGCATGCCACTCAGGACCAAGATGTATGTAGCAGCAGAGGGGATGGTGGCAGAAGATGTGGGGCTGGTACTACGGGAAGGGAAGGCGGGAGGCGACGCCCAGAGGGGCCGGAGGGTGGGACGGCTGCGGCCCTGCTTCTGCTGGTGTGGGCTGTGATGCTGGAGTTCACCCCAAGGCCTCTCTGCCCGCATCCTCCCCTCTGCTCCCCTCCTGCAGGCTTCAGTCAGACCCCCTGCCCACAGGGAAAGGTCGGAGGGGAAGTGTCGACAGTAAAATAAGGAACAAATCCAGCCCCTGGAGAGGAGAGAGCCTTAGGGAGCAGAGGGGGTCTCGGCAGCGCTGGGCTGGCGCCTGCCCCCGCCCTCCCTGAAGGCCGGTCCGGCTTTCACCTCCGTGTAAACGCCACTCTCACTGCCGCCACCTGCACTTCTCTAAGAGGACACGGAGCAGGGAGCTGTTTTCTTCCCAGCAAACCTTTCCGTGGTCACATGAACTTTCTTTAAAACAAACACAAAATACTTCATAGGTTTGCAGACTTCGTCCTTGGAGGAAGCCACTTGTCGCCCGAAGAAATGCGTCTTCACGAAGAGTACAGCCTGGGGGGCGCCTTCCTGGAGGAGCAGCTCTCACCCGCATCCTGGGCCTGCCATCGCCACTGCCCTCGAGTGAAGATCTCCACTCGGAACAGGGGACTGTGTTGGCCTTCAGGGGCCAGCGAGCCCGGGTCAGTGCCTGTCGGCCCCAGGGCACCATGCTCTCTGCCCAGAGCCTGTCTGCCCAGATGGTGCCGGCGCAGGCGCTGGGAGGCCGACCCGTGCGCCCAGCACGTCCTAGTGCTGATCAGCGCTGCTCAGGACGGGGATTCTCAGGTCAACTCAGATGGACACCGCGTGCAGCGGGACTGCCCAGGGCCTTTAGGGTGCCAGTGCCCACGTGTCTCGGGAGAGATCGCGTAGCGGTTTCCGACTTCATTTGCCCACAGACCCGTATTCCAGGAGACGACGATTCCTGGGCTCACGTGTGGAGAACGTGCTACTGATGGAGGCGCTGGGGTCTGGGAGGCGCAGCAACTTGTCCCAGCCCACACTCAGCGGCCGCGCGGGGCGGCGCGTCAGCCCTGGCATGGCCCACGGCCGGGCACCCGGTGAGGCGGCCTTCCGAGGGAGCGCGAGGCCGCCTCCCCCAGCCCTGGCCTCACTGGACTGGTGACCTTTTTACCTTTAGTAACAGCCCTCTAGCTATTTGGTAACTGATGAAGAGAAACATTTCCTACGCTTCTATTTTAGAGTTTGGGTAAGGCTTTTATAGGTAGCCAGATCAGCATCACTTTTGTATTTCCGTGTGTTGAAGCTGGAGGCGTTTGCCCTCTCGTGAGATTTTGCATCAACGGTTCATTTCTCAAACCGCCGAGTTTTCTATTCGGTAACAGTTCCCTGCAGAGCAGATCCGTGATCTTCCTCACGGAGACCAGGCCTTGTTCTGGATGCCTCCTGTTAAGACTCCAGGGGAAGGAGGGACTGACTGAGTGCCGCGTGGACTGAGCCCAGGAGGCCCACGCGGAGGACTAAGGATCCGACGGGGCACAGCAGCCCGGGGGCGACAGTGTCGCTGAGTGGGTTCTGAGACTCCGAGGCATCGAGCGAGCGGCCTTCACTGGAGAGGAGAGGTCGCGGGGGCGTGCGAGGGCTAAGGACGCTCTCCGGGGCCAGGTCTCAGCCTCGTTCTCACCTGTTGCGTCACCTGGCTACCCGTGTGGGACTTTCTAGATTGACCTTCCAGTGCCCTTGCCCCTCCAGGCAGCGTTTGCAGGCCTCCAGTGTTGCCAGACACCAGTTCGTGTGAGGAGCTCTGTTCTTTCTGTAAAATGCACTGAATTCACTCTGTGCTTTCACGCAGCCTCTGATTTTACTTATTTTTAATGTTTTTATTGATTTTTTTAGAGAGAGAGGTAGGGAGAGGGACAGAGAGATAGAAACATGGATGAGAAAGAGAATCATTGATCAGCCGCCTCCTGCACGTCCCACGCTGGGGATCAAGCCCTAAACCCAGGCATGTTCACCAGGAATCAAACCGTGACCTGTTGGCTCATGGGTCTATGTTCGACCACTGAGCCACGCCGGCTGGGCAGTAGCCTCTGATTTTAAAAATCAAAGTGTCTCCCGTTCAGATTTATGATGATGTTTCGTGGGTGTTGTTACAGTTCAGGCTGATGCTTTGTAATTGTATTTGCTGGTGACACGTGACACAGGCACACATCAGATGCGGCAGTATTTGTCTCCCTGCACTCCTCTCCCCAGAGGCAGCTGGTGTCCCACCACACGCGTGTGACTGAGGGGTCCCCGGGCCTTGCCTGTGCCGGGCACGGAGGTGCTGACCAGCCGGGGTAACCGTCACCGTAGAAACAGCTGGCCGCGTCTCCCGGGTGTCGGCCTCAGTTATGCCGTAGAGGACGCCGTGGATTGTCCGTGTCTGTCACGAGGACTGTGGAAAGCTGAGCCATTAAAGCGTCACTTGTGATGTGGGGTGCCTTTCCCTGGGGTTCGTTGTGGTGCTGCTCACAGTTCTGATCCCCATCAAGCACTGTTGGCTAGCTCCCCTGAGGTTCTCCCCCTTCCCTCCTCCTTCCCCATCTCCCTCTCCCTCCCCGCCCTCCTTCCTTTGCTTAAAGGCCTGTACCCGGCTGCTCTGGCCCTCAGGAGGTGAGCTTCAGGCCGGGGCCTCCGGAGCCCTTGGCCGGCCGCTGCTGGCTCCGGTGCCTCACCAAGCTCGCTGTCCTTAGCAGGTGGGCGGGGCTCTGACACCAGCAGTGCCCGTGAGACTCCCGGAGCTGGCCAGGCCTGCACAGTCGTGCCATTCAAACGCCGTGTTTAACAGGTTTTAGGGCATATTTTACACATCTCAGAAGACGCGTTGTGAATTGGGTGTGTCGTTGGCCAGTACTACTGAGGGGTGGACTACAGGGGAGTGGCCGTGTGACACTGCGGAGGATGTGTGAATGTGTGACTTTTTAAAAAAATCCAGAAACTGAACAGATTTGAGATTTTAGGAGGTTTAGGATAGATAGATGATGGGTTACATCAACACGTGTAAACCTGGATGAATTAAACCCCGGAAGTGATGTCCAGAAGAGGAGGAGGACCTTACGTGATTCTGCATGTGATATCCCCGAGTTAGAGTGCAGGTTGTTAAACCGCTTTCTGGTCTACCGGGTGGAAGGGGCCGGGCGCTCTGGCCTGACGAGCGTGGGGTCTGGAGAAGCCCGCAGTGAGGTGTTCAGGCGACGCCAGGAGCCGGCTGCCTTCCGAGCCAGCCCACTGGGTATGACACTGACGAGCTAATGGGTGGCTGTGCCCCTGGGTGTTGACCCAGGACCCGCACTTGGCCGTCGCCCCTAAGAAGACCTTGCTCACAGCAGCCAGCCGTGTGGTCTGCCAGGCACGGTCCATGGCAGCCGTGTAAGGGCGTGAGGACAGACCCTGGAAACCATAGGACCAGCAGATCCCCCTCGGAAGGCAGCCCCACAGGGTCAGGCGTAGTAAGAGCCCTGCCGGGCGGGCAGAAAGGACAAGGTTGCTGTGTCGCCCGCGTCAGTGTCGTCAAACCAACACGTGATGCCCCCCGCCCCTAGCCTAACCTCGCCGAAGTGACCGGATGCCCAACGTCGGCCACGACCGCCCCTTCCCAAGCGCCTTTTCCTCTCAGTGACTCCTTTTCTCATGTTCAGTTCTCGACCTGAAGCCCCTTCGGGAGGGCGTGCTCTGCACTGAGATGTGTGAGAGGCTGCAGCCTTCCTATGGCCCAGGAGTCCCGTTGCCTTGAGGTAAATGCGTCTTTTTGCTCTGGTCCCTGAATGTGCTAACGCGTCACCAGAGATTAGGGATGAGGATGCACTCACCAGGAGAGATCCTAGGAGATGCCTTCCGCACGGCAGCTGCTCTTGTTTTAATAATTGCGGGGAGGGGGATAGAGCTGGCTGGCTGGTGTTGCTCCGTGGATAGAGCATTGGCCTGTGGACTGAAGGATCCCAGGTTCAATTCCCGCTCAGGGCACATGCCCGGGTTGTGGGCTTGATCCCCAGTAGGGGGCGTGCAGGAGGCAGCCGATCCATGATTCTCTCTCATCACCGATGTTTCTGTCTCTCCCTCTCCCTTCCTCTCTGAAACCAATAAAAATATATTTTTAAAAAAATAATTGGGGGGATGTTTGTTTTGGTTTTGGTCCACTTTCCAGAAAAGCAGTGATGAAGCAGGGAGAGGGGAGTCAGGGTTTACTGGAGGCCCGTCAGACACTGTGCTAGGCACTCGGGGTGCCTCCTCTTGAACCTCGTCGCCGTCCGTCCTGTTTTGGTGTCGCGTCCACTTTGCGTTGAAGAAAGTCCGAGGTGCAGAAGCTGCTGACGACCATTCAGAGCTGAAGGGTCAGCACAGAACTTGAGCCCCAGGGTGTCGGTGCCCGAGCCTGGCTACTTCCTTTACTGGTTTTATAAACAGCCAAGGAAGCGGCCCCCAGCCCATCCGTTCTGTCAGTGCTGTGCCCCCGCCATCACATGTGCCTTGTAGGTGCTTGTCCACACGGTGCCTCTAAACTACCTGGGGTGATGGACCGCCCCCCCTCCATCCACCACAAACAATACTTCTGTAAAGTTAGAAAAAGTATATTTTAAAAAGGACACACCATGTACAAGCCCCTCCTGGCTCCGGTCCACTGGTCTTCAGAGTCCCTCCAGCCCGAGTTTTCTCTGCAAACCCAGTCCCCACCCAGCGTGCGGGGTCTGCACTCCCCGCTGACAGCTGAGCGGGAGGTGCTGGCTCCCTCGGTGTCTGCGAGTGTCCGAAATGGAAACACAGCCACACGTACAGGTCCCAGGCCTTGGTGAGGGAGGGTTCGGCCAGGCGCTTTCTGGCTTGTTCTAAACGAAGCCGGTATGCCCCCCCCCCTGCATCCTGGGGGAGGGGGTGCTGGGCACCTGCCCGCTGGCATCGGGTTGGAGCTAGAATCCTGGCTTTGGGACCTTGACCCCATAACTGAGCTGTGTTCGCCCCAGAGACCTCCTAGTGAAAGGGGGTGGTGACAAGGATGAGCCAATCATCTCAGCACATCACAAGCACGTGGGGCTACGGGTGTGGGTCCCCTTTTGTTTTAAATTCTCTTTAAAAATTTTTTTCTATTGATTTCAGAGAGGAAGGGAGAGGGAGAGAGAGAGACATCAATGATGAGAGAGAATCATCGGTCGGCTACCTCCTGCACGCCCCCCATTGGGCATTGAGCCCCAACCCAGGCGTATGCCCTGACCAGGAATCGAACTGTGACTTCCAAGTTCGGGGGTCAATGTTCAACCCCTGAGCCAGGCTGGCCGGGCTGGTTCCCCTTTCCCGGGAGCCACGGCTTCACCCCGGATTGGCTGCAAGGAGACACTGCTAGGTAACGGCCCGCACCTGCAGCGCCCACCCCAGCAGCAGGGGGGATGCAAATCCGAGGGGAGCCCCAGCCAGCGTCCCCTTCGCGTGGCCAGCGAGGGCTCACCGGCGGGTGGAGCTCCGTGCGTGATGGTCATCTGTTCTGCTTACGGCTTTGAGGAACGCTCCCCTCTGCGGCCACATACGCAGCACCGTGGCTCGTCCCCTTTCCCGCCATCAGAGCAAACAGTCCGAGTCAGTCATGGAGGCGGCGATTACCAGCCGGGGCTGGGAGGCACCTGGGCATTAGCAGGAAACCTCGGAGGGTTACACAATCCTCACGTCAGAGTTAATTGGAATTCCCTTCCATTGGCTTTAAATGGCACCTGGGGGGCAGGACGCACAGGGGCCTCCCCGAGGGGCTCTGCCCACGGCTCCCACAGGCCGGGACCTGCTCGGACTCATTCCGGGGGAAGCGCTTCCGTGGGGGTGGCCCCTTCGTTATCATTAGGAAACGGTTGGACATGGTGTTTATTTTTATCTCGGCACAGCAACTGTGTTCCCCAAACGGCGGCTTTTCCAGTGAAGACATCAGGACTAAACACGAGAGACACTGAGTCAGTTCACACGTCCACATGCCGTACGTTACACTCACGGCGAGGGTCGCCTGCGCACGTGTCTTTATTTCTGAAGTCACATAAGCACAATAAATACATCGGATTTGGAAAGGTCACTTAAGATGAGTCATGATAATCTACGGTACAGTACGTCTCAGTTCAAGTGCAAAAATAACTGTTTGCTTAATTCCACTTCTTTCCCTTATTATTTCTTTTAAAGCTGTGTTTTGTGGAGCCAGATATCTAAGTGGGATTTCTCCTCCCCGTGCAGTTTTAGGCGGACGTAGATTTCATGGAGCCGCTCTTACTCTACCACTGACCCGTGTAATGGGGCCAGGGGGTAAGCGAGTGGCTTCTCTTGACCGTCCTTCCCTTTCCTCCTCCTCCGCTCCCCGACAGCTACTATCCATGTGGACTGGCCCTCATTCCCCCAGCGGCTCCCTTTCCCCGGGCTCCCCACTTCCCGGGGACCTCGTCTTTATTGTTAGCAGCGAGCTTTGCCCGAGTCACCAGCCGTGGCCCCGACAGTAGTGGTATGTTCACAGCAGCAAGCCCACAGCCATGTCCAGTGTCTGACTGTCCCCCACACAAAGCAAAAACCCACCCCTTACATAACTTCAAAAGCTGTATCCCTCCCCCAGGCACTTACATCTTATACTGTTACTTGGAAATAGCACTGCTTCGCTAAAGAAACCCTTAGGGATTCAGCGAGTAAGAAAAACCCCGCCAGCGAGTCGAGCCCGAATCACCAGGAACCGTAAAGCCTGGTCGAGGCGACTCGCAGCATCACCATGGCCAGCGCCCCTTGCCTCTCGGCCCAGGACAGGGAGGCGCGGGTGGTCTGGAATGTTCCCTGCTCTGGTCCTGCAGCCCGTGGAGAACAAACGGCCGGTGAACGCGCCGCTCGGCTCGCGGGGTCCCCGAGCTCTGCTCAGGGGCTCGGCTGCTTTCCTCGCCTTCCACGCAGACGAAATGCCCCTGCGGAGCTCGGGGACCCCGAGGCCATGCTCCTGAGGACTCTCCCTCCTTTTCTGAAACAAAAGCACAGCCCTGCTCACTGTCACCTGCCCCCTGGATCTTTACGCACAATTTCCAAAGGGTTCTCTTCAAGAGAAGCAAAGACAGGCGGCTCCTCCCGTTCGCATGAAGAACCAGATAATGAATAAATACCCAGAAGGGACCCGCCCTCAGCGCTCACCTCCCTCCACTTAGTGTGACTCTGCACCCCGGCCGACCCCAGCCCGCCCGCAAACGGGTGTCCCCGCGAACCCACTTCTTCCCGCCACTCCAGCGGGCTGTGGGTGGAACGGCTCCTGCACTGTGGCTGCGTGTGTGTCTCCACGCCGATGGGTTCAGATACTCAGAAGCGTGTGGCGCGATGCTCAAGGCGGGCGTGTGCCAGGCTCGGGACGCCTCCTGGTCCCAGGCCCGTTCCATGCAGGGGTGAGGTGGGCAGGGCCCTCAGGGTCCCCCAGCGGTGGGCAGGGCCTGCGGGTCCCCACCCTCCTCTGCAGGCTGGTTGGAGCTGGGGTGGGCGGAGCTGCTCTGCGTCTGCGTGTGCGATGCTGCTGATGAAGGGGGCGGCTGGCTGCCAGGTGGGTCGGAGGGCGTGTCACTGGGGGCGGGCCGGGCTCCAGCAGCTCGAGAGTCTCCCCGGTTCTCACTGGTCCCCTGGAAGGAGAAGAACGGAAGGAAGCGGCTATGGTCCAGCAAAGCACCTTTTCCGCACGCTTCCCCGTGAGATGCAGGCACGGGAGGGCATCCGGGGACCGCCCGGGGGCCAGGAGGAGAGGAGGGGAGGAGAAGGGCTTACCTTACATCTCTTTTCCTGTGTGCAACTGCCAGAGCCGCATGAAAAACACAAACACTGTGAGCAGACAGACCTCGTGGGAAAGGAGCATCCCTGTCAACACGCCTGCCACTCCCAGGGCGCCATGGACACCCACAGATGTCGGAGCCGCCAGCCGCGGCGAGTCCCTGGGCTAACGTGGGACCTGCGGCCCGGCCTCCTGCTGAGGCCACGCACTCACCCCTGATCCCTACAACCAGGACACGTGCTTTGAACCAACCACACACGGCTCTCCTCTGAGCCAGTGCTGCCACTTCACATAGCTGGGCGCCACACAAAATGCTTTATTTCTGCGATTGATTCTAAAATGAAAAAACATCGTAGTAATGGCTTCTTCCTAAGACTGAGCCATACCAGCCAACTTTTAATAGCATAAAATGGTAACATGCCAGAAAAAAACTGTGACGGTCCTTAAGCCTCAGAGGCTTTGATGAAAATGAGTTAAGTACCCAAAGTAATGAAAACTGTTCGCGCAAAAGCCATCCTTTCTAATCCACTCATCTGCTGGTGGCACTTAGGCTGTTTCCAAACCTTAGCTATGGTGAATTGTGCTGCTATGAACATAGGGGTGCATATATCCTTTCTGATTGGTGTTTCTAGTTTCTGTGGTACATCTACACAATGGAATTCTACACTGCTGTAAAAAGGAAGGAACTCCTACCATTTGCAACAGCATGGAGGAACCTGGAGAGCATTATGCTAAGTGAAATAAGCCAGTAGAGAGAGATAACTATCACATGATCTCACTCATTTGTGGAATATAATGGACAACAGAGGAGCATCGATCAGACCATCAAACCTCAGAGGGAAGGCAGGGGAAGGTGGGGTAAGGAGGAGAGATCAACCACAGGACTTGTATGCATGCATATAAGCATAAGCGATGGACGCAGACAACAGGGGGGTGAGGGGGCAAAGAGGGGGTAAGGACACATATATAATACCTTAATCAATAAAAAAATAAATAATGAAGATAAGATGCAGCAAAAAAAAAAAAGCCATCCTTTCTTCTGCCTCGAATCCTGGCCTCGCCGCCCAGCCTCATAGCATTGGTGCCCCACCCACCGACGTGCTCCTTCCTGACACGCAGGGGACCCGGTGAGTTTGTGACCTTCACAAGGAGGGTCATGCCTAGGCCAGAAGGCATCATGCTTATCAGAGACAAGGAGGCTTGGTTTAAATTACAGAAATATTATGTTAGTTTACAAGGTCGTGATAAAGACAGTTCCAATCTTCTAAAAAGGAAGTTGCCAAATTGCTCATTAAGTCTTTGCCCTTCTCTTTTCTGATGTGTCCCCCGAGGCTACGCCAGACACGGGGCGGCCGTGACGGACCCACCGGGTGGAAGGCAGTGAGTGAGCCGGCAGGGAGGCGGGCTGGTTGCCGTGGCCGGCTGCCCCAGACGCACACTTGGCCTCCCCCAGAGGCGGCTGGCGCTGTCAGTTACCCAGTTTCATCCACCACAGTCGACTCCACTCAGGAGAGACCATACCTCTAAGGCAAGAAAATCACACCTTTTATTTTTCACGTGAGGCCCAGCAAAACTACACTTCCACCGAGTTAATGTCCTCATCAGCCCGCACAGGCTCAGTATGACCACTGCCTCACCAGACACCCTCAGGGCCTGTTCCTTAGCCTGTGCCCAGAGAGTCGGAATTACAGACACGTCTCCTCACCGCGGCTGCAAGCCATCGATACTGAGAATTTAACGCAAAATCAGAAGATGTGTGTTAGCTCCAGCAGGCACAATGCCCTCTCTGGGAGGCTGCGTACACCTCCACTACACACCTGGCGCGGAGCAATGAGACCACCCCACAGACCTCCCGCAAACCCGGGCGCACAGCTGACAGAGGGCCTGCCCAGGAGCGGGAGCCGGCAGGGCGGAGGGAGGGAGGGCGCTACCTGCAGAGGCTGGATCTCCGAGGCATGGCTCTCCCTGGCGAGCAGCAGCATCTCCTTCACCTGGTAGAGGGCGTAGACGAAGGTCACCCAGGGGGAGGCGCTGACGCCCCAGGCGGGCTTGCTGGCATCCTCCTGCTCCTCCTGGTGCTTGGTCTTCTTGGGTGGGAGGCGCGGCTCCACGCGCGGCAGGATGTCCTCTGGCTGCTGCTGGACCAGGTCGATGGTTGCTATGGGGACAGGGCTGGATGGAACCGGAATCCTCTCGGCCAACATTGTCTTGTCTGGAGAGAAAGTCAGGTTCGAATCACTGTTCAGCGTTTTCTAGGCACTTGAACAAACACAGAACTAGGTGGGCGAGCCCCCCCCTCCCCCGAGCCCCCGCAGAGTGCGTGGCAGCCTCCGCAAGCGGCCGGGCTCCAGGGGCTCCTCCGCGGACTCGCTGCTGCTGAGCCAGGGGAGTGCTTTATAGACTTCGGGTGCTGACCCCTTCTGGGCACCCGTATTGCCATGAAGGGGACCAACTAGTCCTGGTCTTTCCGAGTAAGTTTTCATCAGAGAGCTAAGGAGCGTGAGGCTTGTCTTCCAGGGCCTCCCTACGGCTGCTTGCTGATGAAATGCACGGTTCTCTACCTTGGCTACCACATCTGCGGCACAGGCTGCAGCACAGGTGCCTCGGGCCCACGCAAGGCCTGCCCACGTAAAGACGAGCATCAAAGCAGGAAGGCCTCCGAGGGAAGGCCTGCACCAAGGCTGCGGGAGGCGGGAGCCAGTTAAGGTCATGAAAGACCAGCATGAGAAAGGCAGTACTGTCTCCCTTTCTGAAGGGCTCCTTGAAATTAAAATCTGTCCGAGTCTCTGTAAGGAGCTGGTTTTCCTAACAAAGCCCCTCAGGTGCCTGAGGCAAACGCCACTCAAAGGAGAGGACCCCCAAGAAGAGGCCGGATGGGGGGGGGGGAGTGCCTGAGGCTGAGCGGGAATGTCTCCCTCTGCTGGGGGCCTTTGTTAAAGAAAAGAAGTTGATTTTAAAACGTTGAAAACTGCCTGGCTTGTGTGCTCCATGGTTGAGCACTGACCCATGAACCAGGAGGTCAGGGTTCGATTCCCAGTCGGGCACAGGCCTGGGGTTGCGGGCTCGATCCCCAGTGCGGGGCGTGCAGGAGGCAGCCCATCGGTGATTCTCTCATCATTGATGGTTCTCTCCCCCTCTCCCTCTCCCTTCCTCTCTGACATCAATAAAAACATTTTTTAAGTTGAAAATTTGTTCTCATCTAAACATTATAGTTGCTGCAACTTTCTTTCTGTGTAACTGTTTTAATGAAGCCATACCTAATTGAGGGAAAACTTCCAAGTTAAGGTTTAGACTTTTTTTCAAAGGAAGATAAAATCATAGAGATTAATAGTACGTCTTATCCCTAGTAGGAAAATGGCTGTATATCAGCGGTTCTCAACCTGTGGGTCGCGACCCCTTTGGGGGTCAAACGACCCTTTCACAGGGGTCGCCTAAGACCATCGGAAAACACATCTATAATTACATATTGTTTTGTGATTAATCTCTGTTCTTTCATTATGTTCAATTTGTAACAATGAAATAGGGGGTCAGCCCCAACATGAGGAACTGTATTAAAGGGTCGCGGCGTTAGGAAGGTTGAGAACCAGTGCTGTAGAGCCTTACATCTACCTGACTTACATTTTACATACCTGTAGAGCACTAGAGAAATGTAAAACCAATACTTCCAATCAGCAAGAACCCCCCAGGCTACCTGAGTGTGACCACTATTCTTTTCAGCACCGGAGGTGGCTTCTCCCCGCAGTCCGCAGGAGCCCCTGGGAGCACCGCCGGCAACCTAGTCCCGGCCACTCTCCACCCTGGGTTCCCGGACACGTGTGGCCTCCCCGTGGCTTCACCCTTCAAACCACAAGAAAGCACGGCCGTCTACCTTCTTCCTCGTCCGGCACTGCCAGCCACTGGATCAGGGCGAAGAGCAGGAGGATCACCAGGCAGCCCATGCCGATTCCCCGGAAGGTGGCAGCAGCCCCTGTGGAAACAAGCCGAGCTCTAGGGGAACCCCAGGGGAGGCAGGCAGCCCTCCCCCACACTCAGCTTTCGCAAGTTCAGGGCAAGGCAGCAGAGCGTGAGATGAACAGGTGGCGGCAGGTGGCCACAGCTTCACAGAGAGGGACACACCAGGGCTGGGTGGGTGTCAGGGGGCCCAGGGGGGTGTCAGGAGGCCCTGGTGGCTGCCAGGGGGCCCAGGCGGTGTCAGGGGGCCCAGGGGGGTGTCAGGAGGCCCTGGTGGCTGCCAGGGGGCCCAGGCGGTGTCAGGGGGCCCAGGGGGGTGTCAGGAGGCCCTGGTGGCTGCCAGGGGGCCCAGGCGGGTGTCAGAAGGCAGCCTGCTGGCTTAGGCCCGCTCCCCGGGGGATTTGGCCTAAGCGCACAGGGGGGTGTCAGGGGGCCCAAAGGGGTGTCAGAAGGCACAAGGGGGGTGTCAGGGGGCCCAAAGGGGTGTCAGAAGGCACAAGGGGGGTGTCAGGAGGCACAGGGGGGTGTCAGGGGGCCCAAAGGGGTGTCAGAAGGCACAAGGGGGGTGTCAGGGGGCCCAAAGGGGTGTCAGAAGGCACAAGGGGGGTGTCAGGAGGCACAGGGGGGTGTCAGGGGGCCCAGGGGGGTGTCAGGGGGCCCAGGTGCTGGTACTGGGCCTGTCACTGGTCAAATTTTAAAACTGCATTTATGGACCTAACTGGTTTGGCTCAGTGGATAGAGTGTCGGCCTGCAGACTAAAAGGTCCCAGGTTCGATTCCGGTCAAGGGCATGTATCTTGGTTGTGGGCACATCCCCAGTAGGGAGTGTGCAGGAGGCAGCTGATCAATGTCTCTCTCTTATCGATGTTTCTAACTCTCTATCCCTCTCCCTTCCTCTCTGTAAAAAATCAATAAAATATATATTTTTTAAAAAATTGCATTTATGAACGCCTCTGAGAGCCTTTCACCATAAAATTCCATGGAGCTCTCTCCTCCATAAGACGCCTCCCTGACTGTACGCCGCCCTATTCCTCTGCGGCTGGAGCTCAGACAGGCTAAAGCCAGGCCCCCGGGGCCCACCATCCGCAGCAGCCTGAGCGGGTACAAGCCGGTGCAGAGTGACCTGGTGCTGCCCAGCCCGGCATTCCCGAGGGGAGGCCCACAGGGCAGGCACACTGTGCGCACAACAGGCTTCCTGGCTCAGATGCTCGGGGTGGACTAACGATGATGGGTCTCGCCCCTGGGCATTCCCGGCTGCGTTAGGGTCGCTGACTTCAAACCACAGCCTGTGCTCACGCATTCGCTTGGCCCCTGAGGCGTGTGTGGCCTCTCACTGGCTGTGGACGGAGGGGTGCCCGGTGGCAGCGCTGCCCTCGCCCCCGTGGCAGGCACACGGGTGTGCGGTCAGACCCCATGAGAGCCAGGGAGACTGTGACCGGGGGCTCGCCTCTGCCCATCTTCAGGAACAATGGGAGTGTCCATGGAGGTGTCGCTGGAAAATCGTACGTTTTCACCCAAGAAGAAAGGGAGAAAGAGAACGCCATTCTTACCGAAGTAGTTGACCAGCACGCCTCCGATCATGGCCCCGCAGCCTCGCCCCAGACCCAGGTGCAGGCCCTGCAGGATGCCCTGTGCCGACGTCCGCAGCTCGGGGGGCACCGCGGCGCTCAGGTAGGAGATGCAGGCCGCCCAGATGGCCGCGTGCGTCACGCCTGCGGGGGGAGGGGGCGGCACGGTAAGCAGCAGCTCAGGCTCCCTTTCCAGACAGGAGTCCCTCCCTCAAACGCACACACATCTGCCTGTGAGACAGGTTTCATTCGCCTCCGCATAACAGCGTCCACCATGTTCCCCATTGGTAAGTGCATCGTTCGTGGCATCAGGCACATTCACACTATTTGCAGCCCTCACCACCGTCCATCTCCACAGCTTCACCCCACATTGAACCTCTCCCCATCTAACAGGCGCTTGCCCCAGGCCCTGGGAACCCCATCCTACTTTCTTTTTTAATATTTTTTAAATTAATTTCAGAGAGGAAGAGAGAGGGAGGGAGATAGAGACATCAATGATGAGCGAGAATCATGGATCGGCTGCCTCCTGCACTCCCTCTACTGGGAATCGAGCCCAAAACCCGGGCATGTGCCCTGACTGGGAATCGAACCGTGACCTCCTGGTTCCTACGCCGACGCTCAACCACTGAGCCACACCGGCTGGGCCCCCATCCAACTTTCCGTCGCTGTGAAGTGAGTGCCTCGGGGCCTCGTGTAAGTGGACCACACAGTCTGTCCTCCTGTCTCCGGCTCCCTTCCCCTAGCATAATGTCGCCAGAGTCCTCCGCACTGTAGTGGTCCCAGATTCCTTCCCCCTCAAGGCTAGTACACCATCACACGTGGAAAACGCGTTTTGTTTGCCCATCTGTCGAGGGACACTGGGTTGTATCCACCTTTTGGCTACTGCTGTGAGCAGCGCTGCTCTGAACCAGGGGTGCAGTGTCTGTCTGAGTCTCTGCTGTCAGTTCTTGGGGTGTATTCCCACAAGTGGGGTGACTACGTCCTATGGGTAATAATCTATGTAACCAGCTAACTGCCACGATATTTTGAATTTAATTGAAAAGGCCCACCACGTGCGTCTATAGGCGCGCATGGCGCACAGATGGTTAAACGTGGAGGCCCCGCCTGCCTGTGTCCACAGCAGCGGCACCCTGTTCCACGCCCAGCAGCGCACAAGAGCCGCGGGGGGTTCTCCTCGCCCTCGCAGCCTTGTTACTGT